TCTTTTGAGTCGACTTTTGCCCGGACAATTTTGAGTCGAGTTTAGACTCGAGGGACCAATTCCAAAATCACATGATAAGATCAGGTGCTATCTTATAATGTAATTATTTCTTGAGAAACAAAGGATTATTTAAAAATTCTGAACAAACGGATTTTAAACAATTTAAAGAATATAATTTGTCTCAAAACAAAGTCAATTAAAATTGGTGTTTTTAATTAATTAACAATGTTAAAGAATGTTTGGTTTTTATTTAATTGCAAAAAATACCGATTTTAATTATTATAAATTAATATACATGTTTCTTACTATATAGCGTATTAATTATATTATTAATGACTTCTATATCTGAATATTCTTCATTTAATGAAATTCAAAGCTCTTTTGAGAGTGAATTTCAAAGCAATATAATTATTAATAATATAACCAAAAATGTTGATAAGCAGAAACGGAAACTCGCACCTGTTCATGATTATCTCAATGTTCTCGAAGATGGTACTCGTATTTGCAAAGCTTGTGATGGAGAGTAAGTATAGTGCTCGTCATAAATAATGAGAATCGAGTGTGACATAAACTACATATAGAAAACTTCTGACCGCATCCAGCCAATGAAACCAGCTCTTGATGACCGTTTGTTTAACAGTGTAATTTAAAAACAAAACAAACAAACCTATTTGTTTTCGCAAAAAATCTCGCTTGCAGATCGATGAACAACTATCAGTGAGCTTTGAAACTGCGATGTTCGAGACACCCCAACTCTAGCAAAACTAAGCGGTGTCCCCCTTTCTACAACATATAAGTATGTTGTATAACTAAAAAAAAAACATAAACTTGAACCTATTTCCCATCCCAGATATCCAACAATTTTAACTCCCAAGATCAGAGTGCATTGGGAAGAATCATTCAAAACAACCTCAGTACCTTACCTATAGAGAAATCATCACCACACTCATCATAAACAGTCAGCTGTGAGCTTAATAAGCTTGGATATCGTTCAAAACCATACTTTGCTTACGGCAAAGCAATGCGAATGTCATGTGAATGAGCCACCGCCCATGCTAGACAAAACTGGAAAACTGTTATATTTTTGGACGAAATACCATGACAACTTTTACAAAGCTGGAACAAACGTCCCACAGAAGGGGGTCCCAAAACATCCTGCAAAAGTCCACGTGTGGGGTGCATTCTTAGCATGCGGAATAATCAGTTTCTATATGTTCACCCAAAACATGGATGGGTTGCTCTACCGCGAGATTTCAACTAACCGTCTCTTTAAAAATGTATCTAGAATTATGCCACCACGTTGGGTCTTCCAGCAAGACAATGGTCCAAAATATATGGCCAAAGAAACATCCAAACTTCTTCATCATCAAGCCCCAAAGATCCTTGATTGGCCTTCTTGTAGTCCCGAGCTAAATCCAATAGAGAACCTGTGGGCTATTATTAAGAAAAGAGTAGAAAAATGAG